TAAGGTGTCCAGATTAAAAATCCACCTCATCTCACTACGGCTCAAGGCTGATTCTCCATGGCCTCCCCTCCAATGGGGTCTAATTTGTTGTATACCATAAAACATAATTCCTGTGGGGTCTCCTCCATGATTTTTTAAAAAATGTAAAGAAACATTATGTTTCAGAAAACCCTTTCTGATATTATATATATGTTCTCGTATTCTTGTTTTAAATGTCCTTGAGGTCCTTCCAACATACTGGAACCCACAAGGACATACGAGAACATATATAATATTCTTAGAGTGGCATGAAATAAAAGAATCTATTTTATAATTGTATGATCCTACTCGTGATCTGAAACTTTCAAATTTTTTGGGTTTATTTTTATATATTTTACACCCCATACAATCATTACAATAGTGGAAACCTTTATTGTTTTCCCTATGGACACCTATAAAGTTATTATTATTCTTAGGTTTATCTAGATAACTAGAAGTTAAAATTTGCCTCAAATTTTTTGCTCCTCTAAAAACAATCTTCGGTTTGTTTTCAATATAAGGCAAAATTTCAGTATCTTGTTGTAGGATATGTCAATTTTTGTTAAGAACTTTTTTAAGTGCTTTATGCTCTTTGCTATAATTAAAAATCATTGGAATCTTCTCATCCTTTTCCTTATCTCTAATTTTATAAGTTAGAAGAGAATCTCTATTTATTTCCTTCACCATCCTAATTTCATCTTCTAGTTTTTCAGAATTATAACCCCTGTGAATAAACTGTTCCTTCAGGGTATTAGCTTGGTATTCGAAAGAATTCAAATCCGTACAATTACGCCTTATCCGAATAAATTGTCCCTTAGGGATATTGTCAAGCCATGGTAAAAAGTGACAACTATCCTTATGGATATAACTATTGACATCCACAGGTTTAAAAAAAGTACGAGTATTAATAATCTGATCCTGTATAAAAATTTCCAAATCTAAAAAAATTATACTCTCTTTAGCAATCTCCTGAGTTAGATGAATATTCCACTGATTAGAATTTAAAAACTTAATAAAATCCAAAGCTGAAGCTTCATCCCCCTTCCAAATTAAAAAGATGTCATCGATATATCTTTTATATAGGACCAGGTTCGCACTCCAGTTATGCTGGGAATACACATATCTATCTTCCCAATAGGACATAAATAGACTAGCATAACTGGGCGCGAACCTGGTCCCCATAGCTGTCCCCCTACATTGTAAAAAAAAGTTATCCTCAAACCAGAAGAAATTGTTATGGAGGATAAAAGATATTCCCTCCATAATAAAATCAACCTGTTCAGCAGGATACAATGTAGAGAATTCTAAAAAGAAACGTGAAGCTAAACATCCTACATCGTGATCAATGCATGTGTACAAACTAGTGACATCACATGTAATGAATAAAAAATCTTCCCATTTAAAATTGTTTAAAATTCATAATAGACTCATAGAGTCCTTCAAATATGACAGACTCTTTTTAACTAAAGGTTGGAGGTGTGTGTCTACATATTTAGATAAATTAGACAAAAGGGATCCAACCCCTGAGACAATCGGTCTCCCTGGGGGGTTGGATGCATCCTTATGTAGTTTAGGTAAGATGTATATAACGGGAATTTTTGGTAATTTTATGTCTAAGAAAGTATACTCTTTTTGATTTATAATTCCTTTAGCAAAACCTTTTTCTAAATATTCTTTAAATTTTTTATTTATCTCCATCTGTGGATTTCCATCTAATTTCCTATACGTATTACGGTCTTCTAATTGTCGTTCGATCTCTGAGATATACTTATCTCTATCCATTACGACCACACCTCCTCCCTTATCAGCTGGCTTTATTACTATTTGGGAATCTTTCCCTAAATTCTGCATAGCCTGTCTCTCTTTTTTCGTTAAATTATCTTTCTTATTCATTTTAATTTGTTTAATGTCTTTAACACATGCCCTTTCAAAAACTTTCATAGAGTTGTATTTTAAATGTATAGGATAAAAGGATGACTGAGGTTTTAAATCCGTATGATGAAAAAGGGTTACATTCTCAATAATATTGTCTTCCGTTTTAGGTTTTTGATCAAAAAATTTTTTAAGACATAATCTCCTCATGAACCTATTAATATCAGTATATGCCTCAAATTTATCCATAATACAACTTGGTGCGAATTTAAAACCTTTATTTAAAACATTTTTCTCATTTAAATTAAGAACCTTTTTAGACAAATTAAAAATCCTTATTTCTTCATGATTTTTTCTTTTAGGCCTCTCCAGTCTCTTTCCTCCTCTATTTCCCCTTCTTCTATATCCCTGTAACGTCTCTTTTGGGGGATGGGAGATCGAGTAGGAGGTTCCCTCCATCTTTTCTCTAAAAAAGGAGTCATTCTCTGATTCTCCAAATCCCTAATTGGTTCAAATCGATTAAATGTTTCGATTTCTCTCTTTGATCTTAGTGGCGGGCTATTTTCTCTCCTATATTCTAAAGAAAAATTGTCCTTCCTTACTGGAACATATTTTTGTTTATAGTCAGGCCTATTTACTTTCTGATTATATTTCCTTTGCGGAACGTTTTACTATAAGTATATACGTATTTTGCTTTTTATCTGTACATTGCACCCCCCACTCTATCTTGTTTTATAGTTAGGATAGCCTTATGCCTATCCCACGCATGCTTAAACTCCTTTACTGTGTTAACCTCTACCACTTCAGCTGGAAGGCTATTCCATGCATCCACTACCCTCTCAGTAAAAGTAATACTTCCTGATATTATTTTTAAACCTTTGTCCCTCTAATTTAAGACTATGTCCTCTTGTTGTGGTAGTTTTTCTTCTTTTAAATATAGTAAGTGAAGATGGGGGTGTAAGTGATGGGGGGAGTAAGTGAAGATGGGGGGGAGTAAGGAAGATGGGGGGAGGCACAAGATAGAGGTGAAGAAGGAGAGCATGAAGGAGGGGGGAGTATGGCTGAGGGGGGAGTAAGGAACTGGGGGAGTAACAGAAGGAGGAGGAGGGGGGTATGGAGGAGGGGGGTATGAAAAACGGGGGGGGGGTAAGAAGAACAAGGGGGGAGTAAGAAGAACACAAGGAGGAGGGGTGGTGAGGAGGACACAGAGGAGAGGACACTACGCGCACACACACACACAATGCATCCCCATACATACACAGAAACACACAATGCATCCCTATACACACAGAAACACAACATGCTTCCCTTACACACAGAGAAACACACAATGCATCCATTACACACACACAATGCAACACTTACACACAAAGACAATGCATCCTTTGCACACATACACAGAAACATATAATGCAAACCCTTACACACACACTGCTTTTCTTACATACACACAGAAACACAATGCATCACTAACACACACTCAATGCACACACTTACAGACACACACCTTGCATCCCTTATGCATACAAACACAGATTCACGCAATGCATCCCTTACACACAACCAGAAACACAAAATACATCCCTTATACACAAATACACACTGCTTCCACTACACACAAACACACTGCATCACCTGCACAAACTGGTATCCCTATACACTACATACCATAAGCACACATATTAGATCCTCTACCATAACACATAACACATCCCCTACACACTCCACTCCCTGTGAGCAAACTCATGGGTGAGTGGAACATATAAGTGGACTTATGAGTGGGCCTTGTGGGCATACTCACCGTCAGGCCCTGGGGCCCAGACCTTGAGCTGTGTAAGGGGCCCCCCAAAAAATGGAGCTGCTTCCAATTCTCCCAGAACATTGAATTTTGTGACCACAGTTGCAAACAGCCTCCAGAGATCCTGTTCTACACCAGACCAGTGGAGCCAAACTGCAGCCCATCATCATCCTCATCTTGTTGTAAGTAGGCAATCTAGTATATTATTAGTGACACTAATCTATAATTTACCTCACATTAAAGGGACACTATAGTCCCCAGAACGACTGCAGCTTAATGAAGTGGTTCTGGTGTCTATAGCCGGTCCCTGCAGGCTTTTTAATGTAAACACACACTGTGGGCAGCACTGGCGTTAGTTCGTATGGCAGCTCATATAGGTGGGGCATTGTGATGTCACATGGGGGGCGGCAAATACAGCTGTTCCCCATGCAGCCACAGGTGCCACTGTGCTGGGAGATTGTGATTACTCTTCACTTCCTCCCAGCTTACAGAGCAGCGCATGGGAGAGAGAGAGGAGGAGGCATGATTTAATCTTACAACAAATCCAGTAAGCTTTATAAATTTGGGTGGGATCAGCTCTGTTTCCACAGTTTCTTGGTGTTTACTCTGATGTCTGTATTAATATTGAAGGATTTCTAAGTAGTAACATCAGTGTGTGTCAGCAGGGCCAGCCGTTGGGGTGTGCACGCTGTGCGGTCACACAGGGTGCCATCACAACAGAGGCGCCCGGCGGACAACACAGCTCACAAGTTGGGGACACCAGCCTATTCAATTTAAACGATTCGCTGGTGGTCCACTGGTGCGCACCAGCAGTAGGTGCAGTCAGATTATAGCCTCTCCCTCGTGGTTCCGGCGCTTAGTTAGTGAGTCAGAGCACACGCTCAGAGATTCTCAGCCTGCGCTCTGGCAACATTGAAAGTCAGAGCCGTGAAGGAGCGGGTATGGCAAAGAGCTACTGATTAGCATAACATCAATATCCGTTATAAAACCAGGAAAAGGTGGGCACCATTGCACTGATTTGGTGGTGCAATGGGCCACTTGACTGGTTTTGCCCCCCAGGCCTAAGGCTGCCAGCCCTCCCCTGGCCACTGACACAAATCACGTAACCTGCCAAAAGGGGCGAACATGCCCAAAAAGAGGACATGTCTGCCCAAAGAATTAGAAGGCCAGCCTGGCATGAATGCATATCAGGCTGCCTGCCAATCATGCAGCTGGCCAACTAAGGGCATACTATGCAGACAGCACCCTGAGCTTAGCATAAATGCATCTAATGATGCACTCACTCAACGCTTTCTAAGGACTGTCCCCTAGCACTCGCTGGTCCACTTGTCTCCTTACCATCTTACTAGCAGGCAGAAGCTCCTGGTATATGGTCTGGGACAGAGAAAAGCTGTATGTAGTGAGTGTAGAAGAAAGGGAACATGCCACAGTGTTAGAGAGACCAAAGTCAGCATTACCTTAAAGGATCACTAAAGGGTCAGGAACACAAACCTGGGCCCCTCATGCCTCCATAAATATAGCAAAATCTTACTATATTCAAGCCTGAAGCTGTAACTCTGCATGCTGTTAGACTCATAAAAACAAGCAGTCTGCTGACATCATTAGAAGTGGTGACCTGATCCAATCACAGTGCTTCCCCATAGGATTGGCTGAGACTGACAAAGAGGCAGATCAGGGTCAGAGCCAGCATGATTCAAACACAGCCCTGGCCAATCAGCATCTCCTTATATAGATGAATTTCATTAATGAATCTCTATAAGGAAAGTTCAGTGTCTGCGTGCAGAGGGAGGAGACACTGAATGTTTGGATGCATTTTAGGCAGCCTTGACCCAGGAAGGATCTCTAACAGTCATCTAAGGAGTGGCCAGTGAAGCTATCACTAGGATGTAATGTAAAGACTGCATTTTCTCTGAAAAGACAGTGTTTACAGCAAAAAGCCTGACGGTAATGATTCTACTCACCAGAACAAATTCAATAAGCTGTAGTTGTTTTGGTGACTATAGTGTCCCTTTAACTATATTCATTGTCAGCCAGTCCACACAAGTTTCCATACTTAAGTAAGAGTATGTGAAAAGTAGTTAGGGTTGCCACCTTTCTTGGAAAAACATACCGGCCTTGCTAATTTGCATAATTAAATATGTATGGGTGACATCACATGATGTAAATCACAAGGAGTGACATAAGAGAAAATGCTGTAAAATCACCAAAAAACTACTTAGTTTGATTCTGCTGTAAAGATGGATTCCTCCCAGTGCCCCGATGTCTCCCAGTGCCCCCAATGTTTCCCAGTGCCCTCGTGACTCAGTGCCCCCATGTGTCGATTACTCCAGGTCTCAGTGTTCCTATGTATCAGTGTCTCAGTGCCCCATGTCTCCCAGTGTCCCCTAGTGTCGTGTCCCCAGGTCTCCCAGTGATCCTATGTATCAGTGTCTCAATGCCCCATGTCTCCCTGTGTCCCCATGTATCCCAGGGTCCCCATGTCACTAGGACACTAGGAAAACAGGGAGACCTGGGGACACGGGGAGACCTAGGGACACGGAGACACCAGTGACACTGGGAGACTAGGGGACTCTGGCTGGGACACATGGGGACAATGGGAAAATAGGAGACACTTGAAGACATGGGGACACAGACACCAGGGACACAGACACTAGAGACACTGGCTGGGGGACATGGGGACATTGAGACATGGGGGCACTGGGAGACATGGGGACAAGGAGACACCAGGGCCACAGACACTAGGGACACTAGCTTGGAGACATGGGGACATTGTGACACTTGAGGCAATGAGAGACATGGAGGCACTAGGAGACATGGGGACAGTGAGACACTGGCAGACTGGGGGCACTGGGAGACAAGGGGTCACTGGGAGACTAGGGGGCAGTGAGACACCAGGGACACTGGCTGGGACACTGTGTCCCCATGTGTCTGTGTCATAATATCTCCCAATGTCCCTCAGTGTCTGACATAATGTCTCCCAATGTCCCTTAGTGTCCCAGTGTCTGCCATGTCTCCCAGCGTCCCTTAGTGTCTCAGTGTCTGCCATAATGTCTCCCAGTGCCCCTTAGTGTCTCAGTGTCTGCCATAATGTCTCCCAGTGTCCCTCAGTGTCTCAGTGTCTGCCATAATGTCTCCCAGTGTCCCTCAGTGTCTGTCATAATGTCTCCCAGTGCCCCTTAGTGTCTCAGTGTCTGCCATAATGTGACCCAGTGTCCCTTAGTGTCTCAGTGTCTGCCATAATGTCTCCCAGTGTCCCTCAGTGTCTCAGTGTCTGCCATAATGTCTCCCAGTGTCCCTCAGTGTCTGCCATAATGTCTCCCAGTGCCCCTTCGTGTCTCAGTCTCTGCCATAATGTCTCCCAGTGTCCCTCAGTGTCTGCCATAATGTCTCCCAGTGCCCCTTAGTGTCTCAGTGTCTGCCATAATGTCTCCCAGTGCCCCTTAGTGTCTCAGTGTCTGCCATAATGTCTCCCAATGTCCCTTAGTGTCTCAGTGTCTGCCATAATGTCTCCCAGTGCCCCTTAGTGTCTCAGTGTCTGCCATAATGTCTCCCAGTGCCCCTTAGTGTCTCAGTGTCTGCCATAATGTCTCCCAATGTCCCTTAGTGTCTCAGTGTCTGCCATAATGTCTCCCAGTGCCCCTTAGTGTCTCAGTGTCTGCCATAATGTCTCCCAGTGTCCCTTAGTGTATCAGTGTCGCCCATAATGTCTCCCAATGTCCCTTAGTGTCTCAGTAGATGTATCCTTGCAGCCTTTCCCCCATCCCTTACTTCCCTGAGCTGTAGGCTGTCTCTCCAGGGTGGGAGTTGCTGTCTGGACTCTCTGTAGCTGTACCCCTGTAGATCAGTGAGTATAGATAGGCAGGGGGGGATATGCTGGAACTTCCTATCCCTGCCTGTCTCCACACACAGCGACCCCTACTGGCCAGTGCTGGTATTGCATAGTAATCTCTTGTTTATACTGATAAAAATACCAGCATTTGTATTGCCAGTATCACTGCAATATTGGCACCAGCCAGGCAGCCTCAAATACTGGCTGTGCCAATAAAATAAAAGCCAGGCGGAATCCCTAAGAATAGTGTGGTTTTTTTTTTTTTTTTTTTAAATCAGTGGGCCTATTCCATGGGCCTGGGCCTGGGCCTGGGCCTGGAGCTGCAGCTCCATCAGCCCCTGATTGTACATCAATAACATCAAATGCTATCTGTAGCAATAATTAACTCTAAAAAGATATGTTTGTATCTATTTTGTGCAAGTATTGAGCAAATAGCTTGGAAGGTACTTATACCACATTATTACGCTGTTACATTGAGAGGCTAAGACTCAGAACCTTTCACTGCAAGCTTCCACTCTACCTGTGGTATATTTATGATACATTTACACAGTAGACATTATCCTGTTCAATTGCTTTATTGACCTGTGCTAATATATAGGTCTTGCAATTACGTGTTTTATATTCTTCTATAAATCTCTCTTTCTCCTTTTTCTAACCCTTTAACACTTTAGCAAGTCTCTTCCTTATTTGTCTTTTTTTCATCCTATATCTGTTGATATAAGTCCATCTTTACAAGTTTAAACCAGGACAACACTACAGGAGGTTTATTTCTGTATACGGACTCATAGGATATATATATATATATATATATGAAAAATTTGAACCTCTTGCACTCCTACTCAAGAGTATTTAATACCAGGTGCCAAGTCCTAATAACATAAAAATATCAAAAAATTACCGGCACTCTTGGGTTTGATTCTTCCAATTTATTGTAGGTACATCCAAAGTAGTCAACGTTTCAGCTCCCGATCGGATTATTCATCAGGAAACATAGAGCTATTTACCTTGCAAATGACAAACATATATATATATATATATATATATATATATATATATATATACATAATCAGTAATTTGAAAGACTATATGCCTGAATATATTACTGGGACCAGAAGCAATTGACTTTTCTATGCTTTTACAAATGGCACTAGGTATGGGTAATACAATTTGGTAAAATCAATAAAGCCGGTTGGTTTACCCTTCACATACATACCTATTGCAAACTTTTAGGGTCTGTATAGTAATCCTCCTCCTCGTCTATGGTTATATGTTGTAAGTCTAATTTTTTAACCAATTATTTTCCTTATACCTAAGGGGGATTTCTCATTTGAGATTTTCCTACTTTTTCTTTTTTTTTACATTAGTATTAGGGTGCATGCCCCGAGTGGATAGTAACCACTCGTACTGACCACCCCGTTTGGATATTCTCCATAAAGGGGGTTTCTTTTGATACTTTTACATTGACTGACATACAAGAGGTTTGTGCAGACTGGATGGCCACTGACATTATGTCCAAAAAGGTCTGCTGCAAACTACTCTGAAACCAGTTTAGAAGAGTGGACATTTCTGCCTTTTTAGCTTCCTACAAGGCTTCCTTGGCACATATGAAATGCTTGGACTTTGTAAGACATTTTCCCTTTTCAGTAAGCTTTTGTGTAGATTAGACATACTGAAGAGAGAAAAAATAAAGAGAGAGAGAAAAAAATAATAATACTAGAAGAAAAAGGGCAAAAGTTCTTTAAAAAACAAAGATCACATGCGCAGTGCACAACGCAATCTCACATTGGAACGCATCACAACCTGTGCATGCGTTCCACTACCAAGAATGTCAAGCCTATGGGTGCTTGCGCACCTTCGCCATTTCCGGCACCCGGCTCAGCATTGGTGGAAGTTATTAAAGGTGGAACGTAGGTACCTGGCATGTATTCCATCTAAGGAGAGGGAAGAAGAAGCACCGGACTCCCTCGGTGTCCTTGTGGCGACAGGACAGAGCTCTCGTAAGCAGCAGCTTCACCATGTCCTTAATAAGTGCATGCAAATCTATCCTATCCTATCCTGCCAAAGGCAGGCAGAGAATTTGGGGTGTTGGGGATTTCTAGCAGTTTTATACTCAAGGAAAGAAGGGTTTGGGGAGGAACTAACCAATTTTACATTTTAGGTGTCTGTCTGCCTTTTCCTGATCCAGGTTGGAGGATATCCCAGTTGTGGTGCACTGCCTCTAATCTGGAGAGAAAATAGGGAACAATCTACTAAACAAAGCTCCATCCCTAATGTGGTATCCTTAGTATGGTGTGTGTGTGCAGTGGTGTATTTTGGACCTGTGCTGCCCTAGGCATGACAGAACTCGGGCACCCCCTAATTTAAAATTGCCCCACCCCTTTCTGTCAAGGCCACACACCTTCCTGTTAAAGACTAACACACACTTCAACTGACAGACACACACACACACTCACTGATTTGACACAATCTGACAGACACACAATCACTGACATTGACAGTCCATCACCTTTACCTTCAGCTTCTTTAGCAAGGCAGTGGTCGTCCTGGAGGTGGGTTTGGGTTGTTATCATGTTGGAATACTTCCCTGCGGCCCAGTCTCCGAAGGGAGGGGATCATGCTCTGCTTCAGTATGTCACAGCACATGTTGGCATTCACAGTTCCCTCAATGAACTGTAGCTCCCCAGTGCCGGCAGCACTTATGGAACTCCCACCGCCATGCTTGACTGTAGGCAAGACACACTTGTCTTTGTACTCTTGACCTGGTTGCCACCTCACACGCTTGATACCATCTGAACCAAATAAGTTTATCTTGGTCTCATCAGACCACAGTACATGGTTCCAGTAATCCATGACCTTAGTCTGCTTGTCTTGAGCAAACTGCGGGCTTTCTTGTGCATCATCTTTAGAAGAGGCTTCCTTCTGGGACGACAGCCATGCAGACCAATTTGATGCAGTGTGCGGCGTATTGTCTTAGCACTGACAGGCTGATCCCACACCCCTTCAACCTCTGCAGCAATGCTGGCAGCACTCATACGTCTATTTTCCAAAGAGAACCTCTGGATATGACGCTGAGCATGTGCACTCAACTTCTTTGGTTGACCATGGCGAGGCCTGTTCTGAGTGGAACCTGTCCTGTGAAACCGCTGTATGGTCTTGCCCACCGCTCTGCAGCTCAGTTTCAGGGTCTTGGCAATCTTCTTATAGCCTAGGCCATCTTTATGTAGAGCAACAATTCTTCTTTTTTAGATCCTCAGAGAGTTCTTTGCCATGAGGTGCCATGTTGAACTTCCAGTGTCCAGTATGAGAGAGTGTGAGAACAATATCACCAAATTAAAAACACCTGCTCCCCATTCATCCCTGAGACATTGTAACACTAATGAGTCACATGACACCGGGGAGGGAAGATGGCTAATTGGGCCTAAGTTGGACATTTCCACTTAGGGGTGTACTCACTTTTGTTGCCAACAGTTTAGACATTAATGGCTGTGTGTTGAGTTATTTTGAGGGGACAGCAAATTTAAACTGTCATACAGGCTGTAGTGTACTACTTAACATTGTAGCAGAGTGTCATTTCTTCAGTGTTGTTCAATAAAATATATAATAAAATATTTACAAAAATGTGAGGGGTGTACTCACTTTTGTGAGATACTGTATATATATATATGTAGAATTTATTTTTGTATTTAGTAGGTAAGCCTCTAATTAACTTTCTTCCCTTTCTTTATGTGGATAGACAATGTGAATAGCTATTTATTAGCATTGGACTATGCTTGTGATTGCCCTTAAGCATATCCACACTCCAATATGGCACTATCAGGCAACATGGAAATGACGTACACATTTAGTTGTGTAACGTCAGTTCCTGCCAACTAATACAGTACCCGCCTGAAGATAAGATGGGGAATACAACTTCGTAAGTGACGTTGCACACTGCAGTACGTCACTTCCGGTACAGACTCGTTAGGAAAATATGAGTCAGCTGGCATGGATACACCCCCCCAGATTGCTGAATCCAATTGGCTAGACCCCACGGAGAACCACCAATGAACAGGGTTACCGCCATATTTAAACAACAAACTACACTTGAAGTAGCATACACCGATCGAAAAAGCCCTTGTATAGAGTAAAACGCGTTTCGGAAAGGAACCCATGGTAGACATTAACATTTATATAGTGTCACTTTTATTTGTTTATTTTTATCCATTTTTACAGTGTTTTAATTTTACCAATAAATCGATTTAACTTCAAATCCATTTTGGGTCCTCCAGTAAGCTGCTTCAAAGAAGGGTGGTGTCCTCTTTATAGACACCCAAGCCATTCTACCCAGAGCCAGGTTTACAGGCTCTGGACAAGGTTAGCAACCATTTGCACTTTATTACTCAAACACTCAGATATTGTGACCTACAACACCAGAAGGTGTTTCCTGTTGTGTTGCTTTTGTCTCATTCTCTGAGGATACTATTTGAAAAAAGGGCGAGAGTGTCACCAGACGGCACTACTGCTGTAGAGATTTGAACTTTTCCTATTTGAGGCTCTTCTCCGTGTGAGTTGGCACTCTGTAGTTTCTACACACTTCATTTTTATCACAGATTTATGTTATGTGTTTCACCCCGTTTTCTCTTTTTTATATGCCTTGATATCTACTGGACTGCAATATCATCCAAGTTCTGAATACACTGATATATCCCCATTTAGGGTAGGTGGTCAAATTTCCACCATTTAACGCTCCACTCTTGAGGTTGAAAGCTTTTTGGGCTCTTTTCCACTTCCTTTTAAGCGTCTACTTTAGTATCATTAAATATGTCAATCCCACCCAAGGATACCAAATTAGGGAGCTATCTAATAAACAGCTAAAAGATCGGCACTAAAGCGGGGAAAAACACTTTTTCTAATTTTGTCGTTTCAGTTGCTTAATAGATAAATGCCTAATTTAATGTCATAAATGAAACAAAAAGAATTTCTTCCCAAATTAGTTTTTTTCAGTTCTGTTTATACAGAATTTAGACGTTTCCGCATTTCAAAATTTATACAAAATTTGATTTGGAATGAAACAAACTGCATATGTCTAGTGATTGTATGATAAGTGGGACAGCACTATGAGAGGGTATGCATGTGAAAGTTGCTTATGGTGTTCTGTGTGTGTGTGTGTGTGGGGGGGGGGCTACTTGTTGCATTTATGAGGGTTTGCTACCTGTGGTGTGGCTTGTTTCTTAGGATGTGGTTTGTGGGGTTGTGTATATGGGACAGACTGCTTGCAGGAAGAGGCGTAACTAGAAACGACAGAGCGCTGGTGCGAAAAGTGCCCTTTGGCCCCTCTATACATCCCCCACCCCTCCATTTGTATAACACATACAGATACATACACGGACACACATGCTAATACACAGACACACATGCTAATACACAGACACACAGAATTACACTTTTACACATACAGATACACACTGACACACATGCATATATACAGACAGGCACACATATAGACAAACGTGCAGATGCACATACACAGAATGGCACTCATACAAATATCAACAGTGACACAGATACAGATACATAGGGGCACACACTGACACATGCAGATACGCATGCAGACAAACAGATACACATAGAGACATACAGATACACATACAGACACATATGCAGACAAATAGATACACACACAGACGCATCATATAGACATGCATGCAGATACACAGACACACTTAAAGGGACTCTCCGTTTATCCGTTTTCCTGGTACTGCAGGACCCCGCCGTGCCCTTCTCTCTCCCACCCCCGTCCCACATTTCTGTGACTTACCTGAATCCAGCGCCGATGTCCATGGTAATTCAGAGCAGTTTATAAAACTGCAATAATTACACATGCAGGGTTAAGAGTGGTAGGAGTTGGCACCCAGACCACTCCAACGGGCAGAAGTGGTCTGGGTGTCTGCAGTGTCCCTTTAATGAGAAACATTCAGATACACATACAGATCCACATGCAGACAAACAGATACACAGACAAAGAGATACACATACAGACACATACACAGACATAGACATGCAGACACACACACACAGATATACTGATACAGAAATTCTCTCTCACACACACACATGCAAACTGTTAAAAAAAAATTTAGTGACTTCCCTAGGGTCCTCTTCTCCCACGTGGCGCTCTGTGAGCTGGGTGGAAGTGATGACTTCCTCCCAGCTCTGATGTCATCACTAAGCTGCAAGGGTTTAAGAGCGTGATCGGGCACCATGGAATACATTGCCATCATGCAGCCCCAAGAGCATGGGCCCCGGCTGTTTTTCCGCACAGCCGGGGCCGCACTGCAAAGCCGGCGGGCACCCCATTCGCAGCTGCAAGCCCTGCGACAGCGGTAGTTCCGCCACTGCTTACAGGGTTGTATTTGTAGCAGAGATTCTGCTGTTGGGATGTGTTTGTGGATGGGGCTGTTTGCGGTATAGTATGTATGTGTATGCAAATATGGCCTGTGTTTGAATAGGAGCTGTTGTGTGTGTTTAGGGTGATAAGGGCTGTAGGGTGTAGTTGGGGGATAGAGGCTATATTGTTAATTTGGGGTGATTTTGAGGCTGTAGTGTATGTGTGTGTGTAAGGATTGGGCTGTATATGTGCGTGAAAGGAAAATTGGGTCTGTAGTATATGTGTGCTGTAGTGAATAGGGGGTGTTGTGTATGTTTGGGGAGTCAGCAACGTTTGTGGGTGTTGAGGGGGAGAACAGGGCTGTATTGTGTGGTGTAGGCGGGTGGCTCTTGTGGGGATAATGGCTATGGTGGGAGGATAGGGGCTGTAGCGTAGGAGGAATACCTTGGACAATCGAGGGCGGAATCCTTATCCCTAGTTGTTCGATGGGAGATAATGCTATTCTACACTTCGGGTGGGTACAGACAGCTACTTTCACCTGGCATCAGGTAATGTATATGAGCATTGCCATGGTAATTCAGAGCAGTGTTCTGATACAGTAGTAGGAGCGAAGAACTTGGTATGTACTAGCAGGAGGTGCAAAGCAACTAAGTCACCCTCCTGTTTCTTACCTTCAAGGTGCAGGAGGGTGACTTTCTCTGGGGTCCAGTGGCAGCTCAGGTGGATGGGAGTCAGAGTTCCCACTCTGACTCCCTGGTCTTCCTCCCGCGCGGCTCTCAGTGTTAGCTGGGAGGAGTGACGTGCAGTCACTTCCTCCCAGCTGTGTGATGTAATCACAGGGGGCCCGGTCACGCTGTTAAAGCGCCCAGTGCTGACCGGGCCCCCTCACAACCCACATCCATCAGGTGGCCCTGACAGCATGGGCCACCCGATGGACCCCTTGGACGGCAGGTAACGCAGGGGTACCGCCGGCTCGCACCCGCCCTCCCACCCAATCTCTCCAAATGAGGAAATCCCTTCCGCCCACCTGGAATCCTGAAACGCCCACTAGTGGGCGGAAGGGACCAGGTTGACGACTCATGGTATAGACTATAGAATGTTAGGGACACCAGGATACAATTCGCTACCTGTGGATATTCGCGGCAAACGGAAGTGAGCATTTTTTTTCTTTCATATTTTAATGCTTCTTTCTATTTTGCTTATATTTTATTATATGCTATCTATACAATGCATTTAGAAAGAATATTGCAAGTCAAGCCTGGAATGTTCCTAATATTCTTAGCAGAAGTTACCCGTATGTGTTTTTTCATTAAAAAAAACAAACAATCATTTAACAGGGTTATTCAGTAAAGTGAGAATTGTTGGAAGTCCATAGCGAATTCAAAGTGAATTACAAATTTAAGATCAAAGTAGTCAAATCGGAAAAATCACACAAGTCAGCTATGCTTCTAGTTTATTATTCTGGTTTAAATTTGAAATTTACATTGAATTCCTGGCAATTCTCACTTAAAAGCAAAAGGAACAGTTTACAAATCTGCTACAATACGCAAGGCGATAGTATTATTTAAATTTCCATGGAAAAAAGTATTTACAAATTAAATAAATAAATAAGAATAATTAAGAGAATCAATACTGCAGAAAGTGGTGTATAATATACACGCAGAGGTTAATAATCCAGTACAGGTATAATAAGATCTGTATGTTTTCAGACAGGTGAATGAGTTGTAAGGATGTAGATATATTTTATTCAAACAGGCAATAATTGTGTACATACTACTGATTACAAACAGAATAGTAGCTAGGAAACTGTATACACAGAGCAAAGAATAAGCACTATAAATGTAAAAAATAAATTGGCTATATATAGGTAACTGTGTTAAGCGAATGACCATTCTATGTAATTGACTGTGAACTTATAAGTAGATGAGTAAAATAGTAATGGTGCATGCAGAAATTAATGAATGGTAATAGATTAGGGGTCAGCAACCTATGGCACTCGAGGTGCTTTTGGAGAGCACTCAAGACTGCCAGAGCCAAACAGGCTCTGGTCTATCAGGAGTCCCTGTGGGACTTCAGATACCTGCTAGTACAATTAAGTGGAGATTGCATGTGGTGAGGGATAATCCTCAATTTACGCATTGCAGAACTTAGAGGAAGTGCTCTCATATCACTTCCTCCCAGCACTTCTGAATAGGAATCCAGACTGGAGTAGCCCATATCCCCCTGCCTCTCTTTTTCTATCCTAATGTCCTTCTTTTCCTGGAACTCCATATTGTTGGTGTGTCTGAGTGTATAACAGAGCTCTACAGCAATCATACTCCCAGTAATATGTATTTAAACTACAATAAATGTGTTTAGAAATCAGCCTGCATAACTGAGATATGTTGTTTTTGTTCTAAATTACATTTTAGTAAAATTATTAGAAAATAAGTTACCTAATATTTCTCAGAACAGCTACACCCCTACTCACACCCCTAAAATTAAAGTGCCCCTCTTTGTCCATTTGAAATGTTGGGAGATATGTCCTAGCAATCATTGTTACTGTCCTGGGTCAAATCCAGGGCCATTTCCCCGTATTTGCTACTGAAGTTTTTATGCACATGTAATGCTAAAAACGACCTGTTATTAAATTTTCATGTACCTTCTGGCAAATATTCTTTTATGTATTTTGAAAGCCATTGTTAAAAACACAATATATACCACTTTATAATATTTATGTGCAAAGATATTGTGGTATTATATTTATGTTTGGTAGAATACAGGATGCGCGTCTAACAGGTCTGCATTCCATAAAAAAACCCAATCCATATTGTTAACCAAAGTTTCTAGAATTTTTAATAGTATTTTACGTATCCACTACATATAAGCAATGGGTTTGTATAAGGTGTGGGAAAAAATAATAATTTTGAAATCTACACCTTTTTATCCCGTAGCTGGGCGCCTCTATCTTAACTTTCTGTTACTCATTGATATAAGTGCTGTTCTTAGCACCTGGCAGTCGTCGAAGAGAAAGCATATAGAGAAGAGGAAAAAATACACAGTAATTCTATAGTGTTTGCCTTGGCTTTGCCTTGTCCGACCTAGATTTGCTAAATTATTAATAGAACATGGGGCATCCCATGCAAAAAGGTTAAATAAGTTATAGGTGATTTTCAATGTTTTATTTAATGGTGTAAAGTCCAGAGAAGTGACCGTTCTCTTTTAACTTTCCCTATCTCTATGTCATTGTTACACAGCCAGGCGGAGAAAGGAACTTCTTTTCCAATGCACGCCTACCAACAGTCTGCTTTCAACTGGATAGTCCTGATTTTGGGGCCTGTCCCACTTCAGCTCTTTGGTGTCCTGCATCATTAAATGCACTTGCGCTATGCAACAGGCACTAGGACCATACGGGAAGTGCTTTAGCAGAACTCTCTGCATGGTCCTGAGGGCTCGGAGGCTCTCGGTGAGCAGGCTCATCCCTTTTCTGCCCACTATGGGCATCACCAGTGATGTGGGTTGCATCATTGGCTCTACCCCCTCATGACACTACCCACCACCACCATTTCCCCATACCTCCCTGTCTGTGCTTAGAGGTGGCTAATAGTCAAATGAAAGGAAAGAAGTATGAAGGCACGTAAGAGCCTGCAATGTCAAGTAAAACACAGAAGTCTAGTTTTAGCCAGGCAACTGTATTATGTGGCAGTACATCCACATACAGGCCCAAAAATTACATTAAGCAGGCAAAATATAATCCTATCTCCTTACACCTACCCATCAGTAGCTCATATGTTAGTAGTTCTACATTAACATTTTCCAATGTCCAACATTAAAAGTATTTACCATAGTATATATACTTTATGAGATAACACATTACTATGTGAGTTGTTGTTCATACCTCCCTACATTTTAAACTGAAAAAGAAGGGCACTTTAATTTCAGGTTTTTTTTTAAATTTATTTTTGTAAAATTTGTGTTCAGTTACGCTACATAGTGTGACCGCGCAGGGTCAGAAGTGAAAATTTCGTACATTAGGCTATACATTGAGAAGCAACACCCGTACATGAGTTGAAGCATTTGACCCATACATATTTATCAAAATATGACATTCCAGGTGTTCTCGAATAGAACTATCATTATTTAAAGCATAAAGTATGTCTTTTGAAACAGTTACAAGTCACATTCTATGGTATAACATAGTACACAACAATTAATATAACAGTAATCTGACCTTAGCGAATATTTGCTTTACATTCTTTACTGAAACCTCCTGCAGCAAAGAAACGGTTAACACAACTAGTAAAAATTATCGTTGTCTGGCTATTCTTCTAGATAGAGAAGAACCATGGAAAAATTTGAAAGGATGTATAATGTGACGAAGGAGGTCTGGCCAGATTAATCCCACGGAGAAGTCTACAAATTGTGGGGACTGGAGTCCTATAGGAGAATGTGGGCTATGGATATAGCAGACCAAAAAATATTAATTGTCCTGTAGTACTTGCTCTGGGGAAAAAAGGTAAAATAAAAAGGTCAAGATGGCCAAAGGACTCCTTGTGCCTGGATCACAGGAATCCCAGAGTAAGTCCTGAACCACTGGAGATAGATCTAACACATTACACAATCCTGGGAAACCGTCCAGGCCACCAGGAGGAGGCAATCTTCTAAAATCAATGGATGTGGATCATGTAGAAGGAACTGCAGTTAGGGAAGAAGGAGAGGATCATCACAAGAAAATCTGACAATGTGTAGGCTACTTTTTTTTGGGGTTCCAAAGGTCTCCTGTTTCCGTGCACGCTGTCTCACCCTAGCCCATGTAGCTGGCACCTGACTCTAGCACAAAGTCCAGAGACGATCTGAAGATCGCCTTTATAACCCAGGAATTAATTTGATCCACAACAGCATTAATGCCGATTTCTCCATACTATTGCAGCAGGCAAACCCTCATGACCATACCTCTCTGGAGTATTGTCGGATCTTGGGCCATCAGGAGAATATTGTCCAGATAGACATTTTCTCTGACCTCCCTCAAGCCCTCAGAGATGCCATGACGTGTTTCATGAGCTTGGTGAAGCACCAGGAGGCCGACCCAAAGCCGAAAGGGAGGCATGTGAATTGCCACAGTTCGTCCTTTCACCAGAATGGGAGGAAATACCTGTCAACAAGATGAACTGCATCCTTCAAGTTTAGGCAGGAGAACCAATCACCCTTGCATAGTAAATCTCAGATGAATACCCTCCATTTTGAAGTGGTAGTAGACCACATACGCATTGAGGTCACTCAGATTGATCACTGGACGTACATCGCCCATCTTCTTCCTCATTAAGAAGATTTTCCACAGAAAGGAGACCCTCCGCCCTCTCGATCGCATCAGAGTCCGAGCAGGAGGTGTTGGTATCAGTAGAAGGCTGTGGTAAAGGATTCAGAAAGACGGGGCCTAGTGCCTGAGAAGGCTGCTCTGCTGGTTGGGTGGCGCCACTGCCCACCAACACTGGTTTGAAAACTATCCCAGTTCTTAAGGGAAAGTTGTGCTTTGTTCAGGGATGTATAGAAAGAGATATAATGGTTCAGCTCTTTAATAAATTTGTCACCAAACAGGAGGCCTTTAGTGTCTAGGCTCAATTATTTGGATGCCAAGTCCACCAACTTGGCATCTAGTTTGAAGAGAGCTGCTTTGTGGTGCTCAGTTGATATGGTAAAATTGGCATTGCCCAGGAGACATAGCTCTTGTTGTGCCCATTCTCTAACTATGTGTGCATCCATGGAGGCACCGTCGCGGCTTCATCTGCCATGAGGAAACTCTGCGTGAGCAGTCTGCTACATCCAAACATTGAAGATATGCAATCAGAACAGGGGGTAGACGGGGCTTCAGTGGATGCCAGTGTGGCAACTTGCATCACTGGTAACTCCCAAAATGGACATCAGGGTCAACAGCAGCTCTCTTTGCATGGTCATATTGCTCTTAAAACAAAATAAGCGTATCTAAAGTTGCATTAATTCTGTACTGGCTAGGGATAGTTGGGATGGTGGGACAGGTGATTGGGTGATCGGGCCAGTGCTGGCAGAGTTAAAAGCCAATCAGGCGGTCTCTCTGAGTTTTACTCCACTTTTGCAGAAGCGTCTCTAGAGGCAAAGAAATCATTGCCCTTCTTGCAGAACATCAATGTTTTACATTGCAGGGCTAAATTTGGGGCTCATAGCAGGCTGGGGACTTCATTGAAATGAAGTGGTCTGAGTACCTATTGTGTTCACTTAAAAGGCCTGCTGTATTCCCCAAAGAGAGCTGCTGTGTTTTTTTATTAGCCTGTGCAGAAATGGGTGGTAGTGTGTGGCTAATTTTTTTTATTGTGATGCAAATGTTAATTAAAGAATGACAACAAGACATCAGACATTTTCTGGTTGTATCCTGCCTACTACACACATCAATAACAGTGAATCCTCTAAATATACAAATCGTATTCAGGAGTCACATGATTAGTTAAATGGATTCCACTTATGCTATTAAAGTGTCACATGATCTCAAAATAAATACACCTGTTTCTGGAAGACTCCACAGAGAACAAACCTAAGCAAACAACATCTTAAAGACCAATGAGCAGCTGTGTATGACAAAACAGTCAGTCATACAACAGTAACTCTGAGGCCACTGGTAACTCTGAAAGAGTTGTAGAGATTGACAATGGAAAATTTATGTTCTAGAAAGCCAGGCTTTGATTGATGTGTGGTAAGCAGAAAGTTATTGGAGGAAAAAAAAATCTGCCACTTTTTCTGACAGAAAAGTGGCTGAATTTTTCCACCTCTATAAATGTGGCGCTTTTCAGAAATTTAAACAGAACGTCACTTTCTAAATCGCTTTAATTAATATGACCAAAATAATCACAGAATTGAACTGCCACTTTTTAATACAATTAATAAATAATAATAATAATATAAAAATATCCCCCAATGTGTTGGGCCTAGTGAAAGCCCAGACCTCACGAGGTTGAAAATCTATGGAAAGAAATTGCTGTTCATCAATGGTTTCCATTCAACTTGACATAGTCGGAGAAATTTTGGTCAAGACAATGTAGTCCAGGAACTCGGGGGCTTTTTTAAACAGCAGTTTTATTGGAGAAACACGGCAACGTTTCGATCCACACTTGGACCTTTGTCGAAGATCCAAGTTTGACAAATATCCGAGTGTGGATCGAAACGCTGCTGTGTTTTCCATGTTTCTCCAATAAAACTGCTGTTTGAACGAGACCATGAGTGCCTGGACTATATTGTCTTTACTATATGCAATGGGGGTTTGCCAGCCCTAGGTATAGTGCACCGAGGTCTACAAGTGATGAGAGTGCGGATGCCTCCTTTGTTTGCAACAAGTGTGGTCAAACATTGAAGGATCCCAATGTGCAAAGTTGGAAGAGATCTACTGCCTGGCCCACAATTGTGACAACATCCAAAGGTTATTCTACCAAGTGTTTATTGTGGCGTGTGAATACACACAGTTAATACATTTCAGTTTTGTGTTTTTTTTTCTATTGAAATTTTTATTGATAAGAAAATAAGGTTGAAAGAATGACATATCCGATCAAAGAGGTATGTTTAAGGAAAAATATAAACATTCTAGTAATAGTAAAAACATAAAGAGAAGGAAATTGCACAATATAAAATCTAGGTATAAAACAATAAATGTTCCTATTGTTACTGCAGATGCATACTTAAAAAAAAGAAACTATGCTATGAATGAACAGAAGAGTACAAGATATGTAAACAAATTGTATACAACCAAAAACCACCATAAACTAGAAATATTAAATCCGCTGTCCGAGATATGTGGGGAAATAATGAAAAAAAAATTATAGGGGAGGGAAGGGGTACGGAAGAGAAATAGAAAAAGATAATGCAAAAGAATAAGAAGCAGAACAATTCGTAGGAGTGACTCAATCCCGTGCTTCCATGAACTGAAGAAAATCTGGAAAGCCTGTGTACAGAATCAATGGGGACCAGACTGACAAAACTCCTCTTTAGACTTTGGAGTCGCTGTAGAGAGCTCTTAATATGTCTGAACCCTCTCGACGGGCCAGGACCATGTCAACATCGAAGGAGCAGCATAGGATACCCATCAAGCGTGAATTAGAGATTTGACCTTTACAAGCCTAAAAGTAAGTGTTTTTCTTATATGCATGGTTTGGGGTAGGGATGTAATGCAATAGCATTGTTTCTGGAGTAAAATTAACTGGAGAAAAAGAAAGCGAGAGACCAGACTCGCATCTTTTACCAATATGGGCAAAAAAGCTTGCATGGTGTGGCAAACATAGCCACTTAGACTATATCAAGAGACTGTACCTTTAAGGGTTGCCTGTATGTCGGTGGGGATATGTGTTCAACTATGTATATTGTATGCTGGCTGTAATACCTTGAATTGCCTGTAATTGCTATCTGCCGAATGCAGATAGCTATGTGTATGGGGTTTTCCTTTCGTTTCACGAACGGCACTTTGGCGGGCCGTTCGTGAACCGAAAACACTACCCCTAATAGCCCACACACTTAGAGGCGTGTGGCGCTTGTTCACCGATTGCAACAATGTTGCAATCGGTAATTAGAGGCTCTCCTGGGTGGCCGTCGTTCGACTACCGATCATGCGGCGGTCGGCCATCTTGGATCCTTTGTTCCCTCAGCGGTGTTAGGTCTTCGAGCGCATGGTACTAAAAATGGCTACTCGACGGCACGAACACCGCTGAGCCTCCAGGACGTTCGGGAGTTCCGGGCCGTTCGGTATTTCATTCCCTGGAAGGCAATCGGTCTTTTGAATATGTTTCTTAATGAATGTGTTTTTCATGCGGCGTTCGGTTATTTTAGCTGGGATCTGAGCGGTAATCTCACGAATGATGCGCTCAGACCCCAGCTATCTACCGAATTCGTGCAAATACACTGTATATTCGAAAAGTTACAGATTTTTATATAAATTGTCGGTTCTGCTGCACGGAGGGATAATCCACTTAACAGTATATTCTAGGAGGAGGAGCCCTCTCGTGCAGCAGTGCCTGATGGGAGAAATGCTTTGTACTGTAAGTTCCCCATGTAGTCCTCTCTGGGAATGCCCCTGGGAAGGGACTCAGGAAACCCCTTGCATGGGGACTTGTATAAATTGTGCAGCAGAATTAAAGGACTTCAGTTGACTCTCAGAACTGTGTTTCCTCCGGTTACTGGGAGGTTGGGGATATTGCCTTGTTGTTTCAGCGCTTGACTGTGGAATTCGTGGATTTAATATTGGCGTTCCGCTACACATGGCCACCACACAGGTAAAAGATCTCCTGGCTCCTCTCCACAATTTATACACAGTTTCCTGATGTCCCCTCAAGAAGGGAAAATGATGGGTGATATCTATCAGAACAAGCCTCAAGCCCTCCCTGGCTCTTACAATGTGAGGCAGTTATATATCTCTATTCTATATAAGCATTCTATAAAGCACAGAAATAAGTGTAATTGGATGGGAGTCGTAAATCCTCAAATCTTCAAAGACAGTTAATGAATGGGTTATGTTCAAGTTTCCCAAAAAAACGAAAACAAATTTAGGTGGCTGGTTATAACAAAATCAGTCTGGAAAGGTAATGGGTATGTCACATAGCAAGACTGACCTCTTCTGATGTTATTGTAGCGGAGAGTTTCTCCTGTGCCTGAAGGAGTCCTTAATACCCATACCCCTAATCCTTAATACCCCTACCGCTACAGTGTTAATACTATGTGTATTAACACTGTGTGTGTAGGGGTAGGGGTATTAAGGACTATGTGTGCTGGGGTAGGGGTATTAACACTGTAGGGGTAGGGGTATTAAGGACTATGTGTGCTGGGGTAGGGGTATTAAGGACTATGTGTGCTTGGGTAGGGGTATTAACACTGTGTGTGTAGGGGTATTAAGGACTAGGGGTAGGGGTTTTAAGGACTAGAGGTAGGGGTATTAAGGATTAGGGGTATTAAGGATTAGGGGTAGGGGTATTAAGGACTATAAGTGCCCCAAGTCCTTCACTTACCTTTTGTGAGATGGACTTTCCAAGTGTTCTTCAATAGCTTCAGTAGAGCGGCGACCGGTCCAAGATGGTGCCCGCATTCCTCGCCGCTCAGCATGCAATGCGGCGTCTAGGTATTCTATGTCTATGCTCCTGTGTGTAATTAAAGTTCAATTTACAGATCAGGAGATAAGAACTTTTGAAGTAAGTTACATCTGATTGAAAGTAAAATCATATTTTTTCATGCAGGCTGTGTCAGCCACACCCAGGGGAGGTATGGCTAGGGCTGCATTAAAGGACCACTATAGTGGTGCCCCCACCCTCAGGGACCCCCTCCCGCCCAGCTCTGGAAGGGGGAAAGGGTTAAAAACTTACCTTTTTCCAGCGCTGGGCGGAGAGCTCTCCTCCTCCGATCCTCCTCTTCTCCTCCTCCTGGGCTGAATGCGCACGCGCGGCAAGAGCTGCGCGCGCATTCAGCCCGTCGCATAGGAAAGCATTTGCAATGCTTTCCTATGGACGCTTGCGTGCTCTCACTGTGAAAATCACAGTGAGAAGCACGCAAGCGCCTCTAGTGGCTGTCAATGAGACAACCACTAGAGGATTAGGGGGAAGGCTTAACCCATTCATAAACATAGCAGTTTCTCTGAAACTGCTATGTTTATAAAAAAATGGGTTAACCCTAGAAGGACCTGGCACCCAGACCACTTCATTAAGCTGAAGTGGTCTGGGTGCCTAGAGTGGTCCTTTAATAGAAACAAAATTGGTTTTACTCCTAAAT